GAGTAACAAGGACTCAGGGGAGAGACATGGTAGAAATGATGAGGAATTGGAGGCAGTAAATTTCTGCAAAGGAAGAAGAATTTCAACCTGGTAGCCCGCCACAATGGTGGCAGTGCTGGGCCATTTGTGCAGTCCTGTGAAGGCACACAGCAAGCTTGCACCTAAAGTTGGCTGCATTTGCAAGCTTAGCAGATATATAGTGACATCTCCTGTGCTGTGGCATTTACCATACAGTCTAGGACTGTTAGGCTTGTGCAACATCTCGCACATACCTCTCAGGTCATCTGCCTGCTGCAAGGGAATCGTAGAATCATAGCACAGATTAGGTTGCAAAAAACCTCTAAGAACATTGAGTCCAACCATTAACCCAGCACTGACAAGTCCACCACTAAACTGTGGATCTAAGCACTGCATCTACACATCTTTTAAATACCTCCAGAGCTTGCAACACCACCACTTCCCTGGGCATCCAGTTCCAGTGCTTGACAACCCTTTTGGTGAAGAAATTTTTCCTAATATTCAGTCTAAGCCACCCCTATTGCAATTTGAGGCTGTTTGCTCTTGTTCTCTCTCTTGTTATCTGGGAAAAGAGACTGACTGCCACCTGTCTGCAACATCCTTTCATGCAGACAGCCATAAGGTCTCCCCTCAGCCTCCCAGTGGTCCCAGTACTGTGTCCTGGGGAACACCAATAGTGACTGGCCCCAGCTGGATGTAATTCCATTCACCAACACTCTCTGGGCTTGGCCACCAGCCAGCGTTTCAGCTAGGGAACAGAGCATCAATCCAAGCCATAAGGAGCCAGTTTCTCCCAGAGAATGCTGTGGGAAATGGTGTCAAAGGCTTTACTGAAGTCCAGGGAGTCAACATCCACAGCTTTCCCCCATCCACTAAGCAGATCACCCTGTCATAGGTTGATCAAGCAGGACCTGCCTTTCCTAAACCCCTGCTGGCTGGGGCTGATCCCCTGGTTCCCTTGTAAGTGCCATGTGATGGCACTCAAGATGATCTGAACCATGGCCTGCCCCATCACCAAGGTCAGACTGACAGGTCTGTAGTTCCCTGGATCCTTCTTCCTTCTGACCCTTCTTGTGGATGGGCATCACACTGGCTAACCTAAATCAACTGGAACTTCCCCAGTTACCCAGGACTGCTGAAAAATGATGGAGAGCTGCTTTATGAGCATCTGCACCAGCTCCCTCAGTACCCAGTACGTCACTACATGGGCAATGAATGTCTCCTACAATCCAGAGCTTATCCTTACAGTCCAGTCAGAAGCTGCTGTCAAAAGCTTCCTTGTGATAGAGGTGTTCGCAGTGTTAGGACTACTTTGCTGACAGCACAGGTTACAAGGACATGACAAGATTTATGTTTGTCTAACCAAGGCTTTAACTGAGATTCATTTCCCCTGATGGTATAGACCTACACCATTGCTGTCTCCTTCACAGCTAGTCAGTCAAGGTCCTCATTGTAATATGAGAGAGATACCGGCTCCTTGTGGCCATGACTCACAGTCTTATCTGGAACAGTCCCTGAGGATAAGTGAATTGGTACCTACTATCCCTCTGTGTCTCCACTAATACTGGCTTAGAGCGATCTGCTCTGATGGAGGTGTCTTCATCTTGAATCCCATCTTTAAAACTTCAAGCCATTATGTCCATCCAATGCTCAAGCAGAACAGTCCCAGGCCCCACTTCTGTGCTTCAAAGAAAAAGCTGGGCATTTGCCAGATTTATTTGTCTATGGTTTGCTCAGTGGAGCAAGTTCTTGGATGTGTCCCTAGACATTGCCAAAGGGTCTTCTCCCCTTCAGTGACTCGGTAGATGTTGTAGACCCCTGCATTAGAAGGACAGCCTTCATTTGGTGCTTGAAATACAGACCCAAGTTAGGCAGACAGGATGACCATATGTAACTTTTGTTTGAAAGAACATTTTCAGTGTTTTTTGTTGTTCTTTTAGCCTCAGCAAGTCCTAATCCTTCATTTGTACATACATATGTTTGTGTGTGTCTGTGTGTGTCTGTGTGCGTTTCATCCACAGCGTCTGAGGGTGTCTGTGGAGGACAGTCGGAGGGATGGTAGTACCACCTGCAAAGCAGTGGTCACTGACAGACCAGCCTGGTGCACACAAAGTGTTTTCTCCAGTAAGGTTATGCCAAAGAACCTCTTCTCAGCATGAGAGTTGCCTGGGTCTAGCATCACTGTGTAAACCCACTGTCCACTGAACTGCTACCCATACTCCAACCCCAGAGAGGAGATGTGTGTTGTTGCTACTTCCCAGGAATAGAGCAAGATGATGTTTGTTCCACCAGATCCCTCCCACTCCTGTTGCCTCCTTGCTCCATTCAGGGAAGCAAAGCCTGTTAACCCTTTCTTTTCCTACTGACACAGCTGAGGTAAGGAAAGAGATAGGTCTTGCTGTGATGATGCTGACAGATGTCCTTCTTGTCCCAGCTGCTTGTTTTCCTGTGTTATGACATGGCTAGAAAGCCCAGAGGGGTAAGAGGGACGCTAGAAGCCTATTCCTCTTCCTCATGCGCAGCCAGAAGCTGTATAGCTGACATTACTTGCTCTTGGTTATCTGGGGACGCAAATGACAACGGTTCTAACCTGGGCCCTCTCAAAAAAAGATAGCTTTCTCTCTGTTGGCTTGTGAAATAACTGTAGATATGGATCTTGCATCTGCCTTTAGAGTACCAGTCTACTGTCTTCAGTCAAACCCCAGGAAGACCAGGCTGACACTTCCAGATCATTGAAGGGCAGGACTCTGGGGCCAAGCCATCGAGAAGGAGTCAGCTTTAACCAAGATAGCTACTGTGGGAGAAGTGTGGAGCTGAAGCCAGGGGCTTAGTTCAGCATCACCTCTTGTCAGCTGAGCATAACTGCTGCAGCCAGAAAGCGTGTTTCAGTTCACAGAAACAGCAAAGACACCACAAACAAACAAACAAACAAAAAGCCAAAGAATTTTCTCTAGCCAGCATGCATGACTTCAGGATCAGAACTGCCAACAGTATTCTTGCGACACCCCAAAACAAGGTGAAATTTCAGTCTTGTGCAGTGACTTTTCAGAAATAGGCTGGGAGGAGAGATATGAGCCCTGCCAAGGGGACAGAAAGGCAATACCTGAGGAACAGGGTGCAGAGCTGCTGACTGAGACAAGTGTATCGTTGTGTGCAGTGATTTTTGGTGTTTACTGAGGCAAAATTCCGTGGGCCAGTAAAGGGACATTTTCATTTGTAGGAAAGGAACAGGGTGTTTCTACAGATTGTAGCAGCCAGCCCCTGGCAGAGGTTTTTCTTCTTTTTCTTTTCTCTTTTTCTTTCTTTTCTCCTTTATCCCCTTTTCTCTCCTTTTCTCTCCTCTTCTCCCCTTTTCTCCCCTCCCCTCCCTTCCTCTACCTTCCCCTCCCCTCCCCTCCCCTCTTCCTCTTCCTCTTCCTCTTCCTCTTCCTCTTCCTCTTCCTCTTCCTCTTCCTCTTCCTCTTCCTCTTCCTCTTCCTCTTCCTCTTCCTCTTCCTCTTCCTCTCTTTCTCTTTCTCTTCCTCTCTTTCTCTTTCTCTTTCTCTTTCTTTCTCTTTCTCTTTCTCTTTCTCTTTCTCTTTCTCTTTCTCTTTCTCTTTCTCTTTCTCTTTCTCTTTCTCTTTCTCTTTCTCTCTTTCTCTTCTCTTCTTTCTCTTTCTCTTTCTTTCTCTTCTCTCTTTCTCTCTTTCTCTTTCTCTTTCTTTCTTTTCTCTTTTCTCTTTTCTTTCTTTCTCTTTCTCTTTCTCTTTTCTTTCTCTTTCTCTTTCTCTTTCTCTTTCTTCTTTCTCTTTCTCTTTCTCTTTCTTCTCTTCTCTTTCTCTTTCTTTCTCTTTCTCTTTCTCTTTCTCTCTTCTCTCTCTCTTTCTCTTCTTCTCTCTTTCTCTTTCTCTTTCTCTTTCTCTTTCTCTTTTCTCTTCTCTTTCTTTCTCTTTCTTTCTCTCTTTCTCTTTCTCTTTCTCTTTCTCTTTCTCTTTCTCTTTCTCTTTCTCTTTCTCTTTCTCTTTCTCTTTCTCTCTTTCGCTTTCTCTTTCTCTCTTTCGCTTTCTCTTTCTCTTCTCTTTCTCTTATCCCTTTTATTTTCCACTCTCATTTAAATTCAGGCCAAAGCTAAATGCCAAAGGAGTAAATGTCCTTCTTTTAATGATGCTGATTTAGGGACCATTGTATCATCTGAGTCCTCCTACAAGTCTGCTTCCCACACCAGCCCAGCACTGCTGTTTCAGAGCCCACCATCCTGAGAACTGATAAATGGACATGTAGCAACCAGCACTAGATGCCTTTTTTTTTTTTTAATTTTAATTTTTTTTTTTAATATTCACAGTAGCCAAAGCAGCTCTTGGCCTGTTACACTCCCCATGATTTTAAACTCTGAATGTAATCAGATTAGAGCGGTATCTGCTCCGGAGCCCATTGGAGGCAACGGGAATGCTCCTGGAGGACTTTGGCTAGCCATCCAGCGAAGCCCAGGATGCTGGGGGTGGTGTGGGAGAGGCCGGTGCTAACGAAAGCATTCTGGTTGGCAGTGAATGTGTTTATTTTCCAGACTTCGCAAACCGATCTGTGTCTGCGCTCACCCATTCAGTGCATGCTCTCCTCAACAGCCGCTGCATAACGCTCTGTTCCTGTTCGCTGTTGACCGTGTGTCTACATTTAAGTGTGTGTTTTATGTGTGTGTGTCTCTGGCTAGGCCTCCTCCATTCTTTTTTTTTTTTTTTTTTTTTTTTCCTTACTTTCTTCTTCCTTTCTTTTCTTTCCGTTCAGTTAAGTTTGTTTTGCTCTCATTCTTGTTTTATTTACTATAGTTTAATGGCAAGTATTTCCATTAGTTTTTTTTTTATTGATGCTGTGTTTGTAACTTTTTTTTAATTATTATTTTTATATATATCTTCTTTCCCCACCTTTCCCTTTTTCCACACTATATATAAATATATATATATAAAAAATCTTTTCTTCTTTTGTCATTCAATCAAATTCCAACCAAGAGCCAGTCAAATCCACCACAGTCTCGCGCTGAGCTAGGAAAAAAGTTCTCGTAATGACATGAAAGTGGAGAATACAGTCCCCCAGGCCGTAAGTTCAAATCAACTCGAAGTTGAAAGTGTGACATGATGGCGTCATGTAACAAGCTAAGAATTGGTTGCATGACATGCCGTCAAGTTTCGTGCAGGTGCCGTGATTGAAGCATTTTTCTTGGATGTTGTATCAGTTGATGATTGGCCAGTCATGATCACATGTGCCTTTTTTGACTTTGTGCTGCCACAATTTTTTGCTGTGCTCATTTTCGTTTCGTTTTTGGTGCTTGCAGTGGTTTCTTTATTTGTCGTTTGATTTCTCGTCAGCGTTTTATGCTTCTTTAGATGTCACATAGAAGGAAAAAAAAAAGATGGATTCCTAATTCTTTAGAAAAAAAAATGGGATTGTTATAACTACAGATAATTTGGAAAAAAAAAATAGAGAGAAAAAATGTGTGGTTAATTTTTTTGCACTGGAAATCTTGTGATTATTTTTTTTTTCCGGAGAATTGGGGCCTTTTTCAATTGACACCTTTTTTTTCCCCCTTAGGATATTTCAAATCACCTTCTAAAAATTAAAAAAAAAAAACCAAAAAAACCAAAAACAAACCAAAACCAAACCAAAACCAAAAAGCATAATGATAGTAACAGCAGTTTGAAAACTATAGCAATCAAAAAAGCAACCCCAAGAAAAGCCTCATTGTATGTCTTTTCAAGAATTCCTAATTCTAAGGTGCCTTATTATAGCAACTCCAGCAAAAATTAATTGCTTAGAGGGAGGGAGGGATTGAGTGGGAAAAAAACTCATCCAGATCAAAAAGCAAAATGCATCTTTTTGTTTACAACTGAAAAAGGGTCCTTGACAAGTGTTTTTTATTTTTTTATTATATTATTATTTTTGGTGTTGTAATTGTTTAGACTGCTGTGTACGGTTTGCTGTTTGTTGAACCAACAGTGTGAAAACCTGCCAGCATGGATTGATATTCCGCATGACACTTTTCCACCAGAGTGGACCTTTTGCAGTTTCTAAGTTTCTTGATGTAATAAATCACCGAGTGTATAAGAAGAACCTGCTTGCTAGAAGGAGATAAGAGCTAATCCTTAATGATTAAGCATCCTACTTAAATGTCAAGCCTAGTCAGATCATGATTATTTTTTTTAAATAATTTTTTTTTATTTAAGAAATGTTAGCTTTACATTTATTTTTTTTTTCAAAAATAAGTTTATTCCAACAGTCTTTTTTATTTAACCTCCTATAAATTGCCTGTTCAAAGTCCTACTTTCTGACATTCACAAAGGAGTAGATGTTATTGGCAGCTACGTCTCCACAGAAAGCTCATACACTGTCATAGATGGCACCCCATTAAAATACAGAACTACACTTTCTTGATGCCTTTCACACTCAAAAGCCTGCCAAGCAAGATTGTGATCTGGCATTGTATAGTGGCACTTAAAAATAACTAAAATGCCGCTGTCTGCACATACGTAGTGATACAGATTTACATAGACATGCCCTAATATTATTTTGATTTATTATTATTGCTATTAGGAACAATTGTGTTTTTCTTTATCATGATCGTGACTACCTTGCTCACCTTGGGTTTGATCCGGTTCCCACCGAAGTCAAGGGGAAGCTTTCTGTTGATGCTAAGTGGGAGCAGAATCAGAGCCAATGCCTCCAAAAGCAAAACACCAAAGCAGAAGCCCCATCCTGTCCCAATTGAAGGGAGAAGAAAACACCCATTACTTTCAACAGGAGCAGGATTGGGCCCAAAAGAACAGGCTTGATTTTAATTTCCTTTTTGATTTTTAGGTCCTTCCCCCCCGCCCTGTCTCAAATATTTCCCCCACACCTTCCCTACTTCCCCCTCCCCTTTTTGATTTAATTTGCAATGATCTTCTTCATTTTTTAGGGCAGCAGCTGAATGGGCCACATTTAGGAAAAAAAAAAAAAAAAGCATATATATATTAAAAAAAAAAAATCGTGAACTGTTGGATTACACCTTTGACATATCAGCAAATATCAGTCAAGCTGAAGACTTCAGACCTATTCTCTCTTTGATTGTTTAGACTGTAACATTTCTTCAAGAAAAGTATCACATCTGCTGACTTCGAAGGACATGCGCTTGAAAACAAACAAACACATAAGTAAAATCAGAACAGGAGGAAGATTCAACCGGGATTTCTGAAGAGACACTGATATCACCACAGCGGCTTTTCTTCAAACAGGAGATGCAAACCTGGATTCTGGCAAAGGAGTGCCTGTTTGCCACCAAGGATGCGGTTACCATGCAAGAACCCGTGGTAACAGTCACTGAGCATCTTTATCTGTCATTCCTTAGCTATATAGGGACCAAAGGACAAAACTTTTTACCGCAGACTTGTAGCTGTATGTAAAATATGGAAGTTCTTTCCTTTTCTCTGAGCTGTTCCTAAAACAGTTTTTGAGAGCGATTATATGAAATATGTAAAATTAAAAAAAAAAAAAAAATCGAATGCTTAAATGCTTTTAAAACGGCAAGATAATAGTTCTTTGATACTTTGGGAGGTTCTTTGGTTATACATTAATTAGAGTCTATGAAGCTTTCATATGGTTTTCTGTATAATACGCAAGGATTGCGTTGTTAAAGGCAGGTAAGATGGATATCTAGAAAAGCAAAAAAAAAGTAAATAAATAAATACATAAATAAGTACATAAAAAGGCATAGAAAAGAGAAAGGAAAGATGGTTGATATTAAATGGAAAACAAAAAGGTTTGTAAATGCTTCTAACTCTCCCCATTTAAAATCCTAATAGTTGTACAGAATTTAAAAAAAGAAAGTTTAAAATACCTATATAATAGAAAAAATTAGACAACATAAAAATAAAAAATAAAAAAAAAAACAAAAAAGCAAAAAAAAATAATACTACATAGAAGTTAGCGTTAATGCTAAAAACAAAGATGTTGTAGAACTGTAATTTTTGTAGAGTTTAGATTGAGCATAAATTCCTACTCTCTGCCAATTGCTGTTGGATGCTGTTATTTATCAAGGAGAAAAAGGAGAAAAATGGCTATTTTGGCAGCTTTTTTAACTGCAAGCATTCCAGCTATTAAAAAATAAACAAGACAAGACTCAATTCTGTAGACAATGCAAATGGGAAAAAAAAACAGCTGTCTTTTTATCAGACGTTAGTTCTATCTTGAACAACAAAACACAGCTAAACGCTTCATGTCTTCATGATCTGCTGTCCGCAAAATTCCCATCATCCTATGCTTCAGTAGCTTCCATATTTGCTCTAGAAACCTTCAGGGCAAGGGATTAGCCTAGTACCTTAATCTTAAAAAAGAAAAAAAGAAAAAAAAAAAACAAAAAAACTTTAAAAAAAACTAAAAAAAAAAAAACATAAAAATAAACTAAAGAAACAATCTCTTTGAAGAATTTCTGAAACTGTTTACAAGGAATTTTGAAAAACAGGGGGATGTTTAAAAAAAAAAAGATGCTGGCTCTGTTTTCTGTAAATAAATTTGCATATTTTGTAGGACTTTTAATTGTAATGATAGAGAAAAAACAAGGAAAACTATTTAATGAAAGCACGATATTTATCTTTGGTAAATGACTTTAGAGCAGTTAAAAATAAGACATTGCTTTAAAAAATCTGACTCAGAAAAAACAATGAATTATTTAAGAACACATATATTTTAAAGTATATCATATTTATTATAATTTATTTTCACAGTCTTAAAACTTGATTTACATCATTCTCACACTTGTTTGCATCGATTGAGCAGTGTGATAATTGTTTTTTGATTATTTATTTGGTTTTATTCTTGTTTAAGGTTCTTGTTTGTTTCTCTTGGTATTTTTTTTATCTTGATCTTGAACTTTTTTCTTCTTTTTCCTTTTTTTTTTTTTTTTTTTTTAATGTTAATTTTGATTATGTGTTGGGCCGAACCGTGCAGTCCTTACTCTTCCAAAACTCTCATGGGGATATAACGAGCATTTTGCCAGAGTAAGGACTGAAGCAAACTGAGCCCACAGCTAGGAAGTACAGATGTGTAACGCAGCTGCAGTTCCATACAACTGCTCTTTCACTCTCAATTCCCTAAAACTCCTTGTAATCTTCTGTAATTATTGAATGACGCTTTCCAGCTTAGCCCTAAATAAAGCACAGTTTAAAAAAAAAAAAAAAAAAAAAAAGCCGTGTTCTTTACTTCTTGATGGCTTCCCTTAATGTGTTTGCTTTGAGAACAAAATGAATCTATTTCGACTCTTTCATTAATATACATTGTTTGAGTATCAGAACAAATCCCTTTGTTATATAAAACGTATCTCATTGGATTGAATTAATGACACTGTTTCATTTAATGTCTGCTTGATATTCCAGTGTGGTTTACCTTAAACCTAGTAGGTTAGAAGATCAAATAATGGTACATACAAATTAGAGTCATTGTAGCTCCCATTTGAAGCCTGTTGTTTGATTTCACACTCATGGTTTTTTCATGCTGATAAGTATAGAGGCCAAAGCTCGGGACATTGCTCCTTTTGCTGCTTTGGGAAAACCTTGTGAAACTCAGCAATCTCCAGAGATGAGGCTCAATTTCTTCCTGAGCATCCCTCACATCTTGCCTTTTGAGCGGTAATTTTTTTTCCCCTGAAATGGCTGTACCAGAGCAGATGAGCTGGGGCTGGGGCTGAAATCAGGAGCCTTTGCATTTTCTCCCTGATTCTTGCAGCCGCATCTCGATTTGGACAAGTTGCACCAGCTAAATCCACCTCTAAATGGGACTAATGGTGCTTGTCCATAATTTGCACTCCACAGATGGAAGGAGCTCTATTAGTAGAAACTCCTGTTAATAATACTAAGAGTTACTTATGTCTGTTCAGGGCAATAGATACAAATGAAATATAAATCAGATGATGAATACTAGGAGGGAACATGGTCAGTATTTGCTTTTCATCCAAAGGTAAAGGCAAACACAGAAGGGCACATATACCAACCCCATCCCTGCCTTTGGACAGAGAAGATGCTCTGTAGAGGACTGAGAAGGCTAAAGATGTGCAAACTGATCTCAAACATCACTGAGATAGGACTAGGTCTCCAGTAAGAAGAGGTTTCTGTTAATGTTAATAGCCTGTCGTTATTGAGCATCCTGCTCTGGGCTGCAGGGATGAAGAGGACAAACAGAGACCCAACCTCTTACCTGGGCCAGTTGAGAACTAAGGGGGAGGGAGGGCTGAGGGGAGGTGAATATCACTACTTGAAGGGGGGAAACCCCACAATAAACAAGGAAGACTCAATTTCCCAAAGTGGCATAGCAAAGGGAACACTAAAAGGTGTTGCCTAAATCCCTCTCCACTACTCAGGCTGCCTTCCCCACCCTCCCTTTTGACCTTCAAGCTCCCCAGAGCTCTCCCCTACCCTCCCTAAGGTAGAAGCTGTGTCTCTGCAGTGTAAGATACATCCTGATGTACCTGCAAGAACACAGCCATGTTGTCTGAGCAGGATGGGCTGCATCCCTGGGGCATCCAGCTGGGGACACGTCTGGCCAATGAGAAAGAGCTGGGGGTTGTTGACTCATAATTGTGAAATAAGATGTCAAACTCTTGTTTCAGGTACTCTGCAATACACAGGAGATAAAATACCCAGTGTTGGAGAGCAACCAAGTCCCAAGGGGAGAACAGGAAACACTATTAAAGTTGCCTCTGTGGCTTAGGTCAGTACCTCTAAAAATATCTGACTTTGCAGAGACACCATTGGGGTTACTGAACTGGGGGATCCAGATATGAGTACAACCAGTGACACAGGAGGGACCATGCCTGGCCCTGACCTTTCTCTCAGCACGTCCCCGTGCCTTACATGCAAGCTCAAAGAGTGGTTGGATCTCCAAGTTCACTCCCCAGTAAAGAAGGGGGCACCACAAGAGGAGTCAGCCCACTGGAGGTTCATTTACAAAGGTGTACTGGGGAATAAAGCACTGCTGTGAGTGACCACACTGCTGCCTGACATAAGTGATGGGTACTTGACATACTCAACTCTCTGATTACGGCAGACACACAGACTGAAAAAGAATGGGCTGAGGGTCAAATGTAGGCGTGGCCTTATGGTTGGCATGGCACCCTCTCTGGGCTGTACAGATACACCAGCCCTGATTTAACATTTAAGCACTTGCCTTACGGAGACTCCAAACTTCTTTCCAAAGGAAGTTCGCCCATTTACAGTGCAGGTGCCGTAAAGCAAAACAAATTGCAGCATGACCCTGTTTCAGCATGGGACTGTGTTGCTGGGACAGGCAATTAGCAAAACAAACACCCCCACGTGAAGCAATGAAAATGAAGAGAGAGGCCAAGTCAACCTGAGAGCCTGTAGCTGCCTTGTCTGTGTGCACCAGCATGCAGCAGCATCAGATCGGGAACACTCTATTACAGAGGTTCAAAAGCCACTGGATATTTGATGCTGGCTTCTCTCTCTTATTTGTAGCTGCTAAATCACATTATATGAAACTAAAGGTTTTTTAAAGGTCAAACATTCATCCTTTGCCAATGTGCTCCTTGGCACCACTGTGATTATAGTAAACTGCAATCCCATTCCCATGAGTAGCTGAGGGCAACCTTTGGTACAAGAACAGGGCATGGTTTGCTGCCATTCTTTATGGAGTCCCATGGAGACACTGCAACTAATAATCACATTTTTGTGTCTCTAAGAAAGCAGTACATCCCTTCCTGGAGTCACTTTTCCATATCAGTGTTTCTTGATGTAGCCACTGAGATACTCCTCCTTTACACATAAGAGGAAACAATTCCTTTTCCCACTTCCATCGCATCCCCACTCCAGGCAGGTGTTCATTACAAAATTTTCTTTTATTAGAAGATGATATGGACTTCGAACAAGGCTACAGAGCTCTACCTGTCTCCCTTTGTAACAAACATTGAAATAACATTTGAAAATGTTCTTGCAAATCAAGACAAGGACTTCTGCACTTTCAATATTCCGGTTTCCAACAGCACATTTCTCCCAGTCCCAAGCATGACCTGTGAGCAACAACCACCCCATGGGTCTAGAACCATGCAAGGTATTTGTGTTTGTGGTCCCAGGGATATGTCACACATCACAGGGGTTTGGCAGATGGGAAACACATCACTGGGTGCTCCAGAGCAATGTGCCAGTCCTGCCCCAGCAGTTTGTGCAAGCTTTTTGTACTGCCTCACTTGGAGAAGGAAGCTGCTCATGCTGTTCCTTCGTAATGTCCCTTAGCCAACTTCATTTGAAAACACATGACTTGTCCTGGCCACTCCAGAGCTGATGAAATGGGAATAGACCACAGCCTCAAGGCAAAAAAATATGGAGTATGGAAATGCCTTTTGGAATAGGACTGCTGTCCTACTTGCTAAGGAAATCAGTTTTTAAAACAGGTTTCAATAGCACAGCTTCTCTTTCACTACAAACACATCCCCAAAAAACACTCAGAGTTCCAAATCAGAGTCTTTGTGTTTCATTTATTAAGGGTACGAGGTCACTCTGATGTCTCATAGAGCTTTAAAGGTCATCATGTGCAACACCCCTGCAGTGAGCAAGACATCAGCTGGACCAGCTTGCTCAGAATCTCATCTCTTTGCTCAATTCCCTCATCAGTTTACAAGCTTTTGCTAGTGTCCACCCAGCCTTAAACATTCCCCACATCACTGCTGAGGAACCTGGACAGCGACACTCCTGGTAAACACACAACAAATTCTGGTGGCAAAAAACCACCTTGGTATCAAACATCGTCTCACCACAGCATTCATAAACCATCCTGAATTCTGGGTCTCGATCTGGTAAGTTCTGAGCTTGGCATGGAGCACCTCAAACGAGCACAGACTGTGGAAGGCAGTCCCTTGCACAGGTACAGGTAAGATGCCCTTCTCCTGGGAGCAGCAGCCTCA